ACTGTCACATGACCCAAAATTTCCTTTAATTAAGCATATTCTCAATCTCACACCTTAATGCTTAATGCTTAATGCCCTTTATACTTAATATACCTCTATTTTCCTGCCTACCAACTTGGTGGATCAAAATTTTCATGCTTATTGAGAGGAAATGCTAAACTACAAGTATGCTTATTGACAGGTTTCACTGTAGTTATATTTTTCTTTTCTTCTTCTCTGGGACTGCCTCGTGCTTCTCCTGACCCTGGGGAGAATAATGAGGGAGGGGGGGTTACGAATCGATGGTATTGGATCGAAGCTTGCATGACTCTTGTTCTTTCGTAACCGAATTGTCGAGTCGGAGTCTTACTTTTGGTCAGGAGATACTGTCGTAAGATCCGGACGCCAAACAATGCCCCCGTACCATTCCGTTTTGACTCGAATGATCAAGGGTTATGACGCCGAGGACTCGTTCAGGAGCTATTTGTTCTGGCCTTACTCATAGATTTTTCTAAAGGGATTGTATCAGTTTCGCATTGAAGAGTCTGTCAACAATTGCTTGTGAATAGCGTGAAGTCTATTGATGCCTTCTCTTAACCTGGGTACTCCTAACGTATAGTAAAAAGGGAACAAGGAGCTTGCACACGGACTAAGCGCAACGCTTGAGCCTTGCGTTTTGACACTGAATATACTCCTTTTTTTAAATCTTGAAAAAGAGAGACATCCGCTCATTCTCTGTCTTTGAATCATGCCCTTCTTCTAGCTGAGCACTTTGCGCCAGCAGGGGAGTAGCAATCCACTGGAAGGGAGGACTGGAGTCTGGACAGGAAAGCGGAATCAGTACAGCGAACGGCTATCACGATCATTCTATATTTAGAAATCCGCTGTTGGCTCAAAAGCGTGAGAAAAATGATGAACCTTACTCGCACCATTGACTTATACGTTTTGGTACGTTGAATAGTGATGGGCATAACAGATACTTATGTGTTGTGTACACAGCTAGGAATATTTATGTGAGGAACAATTACTAAATTCTCCTTTACTCGGTAAGTTAAAGTTTGTCCTTATTCCATCCCTTCCAAGTAATCAATATTGAAAGAAATTATCAGGAGGCTCAAGTGGTAATACAATATAAGACCAAGCAGAGTTCCCATCTCCCCCCCTCCCCCTCCTCCTCCCCATCTCTCTCTCTCTTTCTCTATCAAAAGAGATGAGAGAATCCAAAACATTGTCATTGATTTTGTCCTCGTCTTTGTCTTCGTCCATAATGGCCACTGACTCATCCAGTGTATCACTTCCTCTATCGTCCCTGAAGGAACAATTATGAGGCAACTGGAAAAAGATTGGACGTCCACCGACTGTATGTGCAGCGTTTTGACAATACTGATCAGAACACCATGTGTGCAATATCAGCTCAGATGTGCTACAGTGACCTTCATACAGAACGTAACCTTGCTTGTTGGTTCAGTTTCCTACATCAGCATGCTCCAATCACAAGGTCACAAGGTAGTAGTGTGTCGAAGAGATAATCCTCCTCTTCATCCTCCATTTATATCAGTGTGAAGTCTACTGTAATGAACAGTGTATCTTCTATTGTTGGTGCACAGTGTGGGGATGGCAACTTCACTATCGTGTTGCTCTCGTCCTTTCCCAAGTCTGCAAGATCATTGGAAAGAGACGATGCTGCATGATAGCAGCTGCTTAACGTTAGTTGCACTCATCATATTGTCAAATGATATGGAACAGGCGTTGGGCAGCTCTGCAACGGTTTCCTTACCTATACTCCGCTTCTTTGTTGGCCCAGGCATATCTTCTTCGTCATCTGCACGCTTGATTTGATGCTTCCCGCCCACCCGAATAGTGCAACCTTGCAAAGTCGTCCCTTTCACTCTTCTTACAACTCTGACTGTGGCCTCACTTTTTGCGAGCCTTAGGCTTAGGTACAGGCGGGAAGGCAACGTTAAGAAGTTCTAGACTTTATGTCAGCTCCGTGCTGCACTTATATACGGTGGTCTAGCTTACCGTTGCAAGAATTTTTTCAAACCTTTGTTGGAAAGGTCTGAGGCTCGTTGCTTTCGGATTTCAAGGGCCTCAGCTGAATATATATATATTAATTAGGAACTGTAACACAGAATGAGCAAGTCGGCTTACCATTTCTTTTACGTTTTGGGTCTATGCCGTTTGCAGCTTGCTCTGTTTATGGTGCTGAAGGCATCAGTACAGACGTTGATGGATCCGGAGGTTGAGGGTTTGGACGAGTTGGAGAAATGTATACTTATGTTCAAGAGCCAGAGTGTACATGCGAATTGCGGCTGTCTGGACGACCTCCGAGAGACGCATAACTGTGCCGACGTTCCGGATCTTCCTGCTTGCTAGAACAAATTAACGAACTTGTAAAGTCCGTATCGTCGAACCAAAAATTAAAAATTAAAGTTGTCTGCACGCGGGACTCAGAAGTGTTCCTCTTCCCGTACGGGCCTCCCATCCTCGCATGTGCTAAACCACAACAATAACACCACCAACACCAACACATGAACATCACTTAGCTCAACTTCACGAGTTGAGACGGGAGATCAGAGACCAACAACTCACTTGCACCCTATCCAACAAACGACCCCTGCACAACCGCCGCACCACTCGACGACTCGCCAAACATAACTTCAGACATAATTACAATCTCCTCGACGGCCGTCCCGCACCCAACACATAAACCGTTG